CACTCCTTGAATATTGGCGCCCTAGCATCCACTCCTTGAGCCTTTTTTTACCCTAGCACTCGCTCCTTGAGCGTTGGCGCCCTAGCACCCGCTCTTTGAACCATGGCGCTCTAGCACCCGCTACTTGAACCTTGGCGCCCTGGCACTCGCTGCATGAACCTTGGTGCCTTAGCACTGGCTCCATGAACATTTGGGCCCTAGCACTCGCTCCTTAAACCTTGGTTCCTTAGCACTCGCTCCTTAAACCTTGGTGCCCTAGTACCCGCTCCTTGACCCTTGGCTCCCTAGAACTCGCTCCTTGAACTTTGACGCCCTAGCACTCGCTCCTTGAACCTTGGCGCCCTAGCACCCGCTCTTCGAACTTTGGCGCCCCAACTAAGATGTCTCAAAATGAAAATAACTCTATCAAAGTAGGCTACTCACCTGACGATGCACACAACATGACAAGCTGAGACAGAAGCAACAGACGCAGTAGTCGGGTCATCGTGACCTTTTTGCCACTCTTACGAAATCTGTTCATTTGCAAAAGTAGAAAGGAATCAATTACTATTTCATAAATGCACCTAGACGACGAGCAGGATAAGACAAAACCCAATTAAAATTGAACGGAATTTAACATTTTATTTTTCGAAATGAAATAACCATGTTGTAAAGTAAGACTATATAACATCTTATCATTCATTAATGGGGGGGGGGGGGTTACATCATAAAATTCAACCCCTTTTCTTTAAAAAATAATAATATCGCGTTTCAAATAGACAAAACCCAATTAAAATTGAACGGAATTTAACATTTTATTTTTCGAAATGAAATAACCATGTTGTAAAGTAAGACTATATAACATCTTATCATTCATTAATGGGGGGGGGGGGGTTACATCATATAAGTCAACGCCTTTTCATTAAAAAATAATAATATCGCGTTTCAAATTCTAATAGGTTTATGCCTTTCGCAAGTCATTACAAGAAAATCTGGCAGAAGGGTTGGCCATTCAATGGATTTTGAAATTTAGTAAAATGATTAAAAAAAACAAAAACAATTACACTACGCAAAGCGTTTTTTTTTTTTTTTCGTTTCAAAACCAACCAACAACTTACCTGGCACGGGCAGAATGTTGGCAGTGACACTAGAAGTGACATGTGCTGTTTTATATACTGTAGCCCGCCTCGGCCAAATGTCACTGTACATCACAAAGAAGACGTACATAATTAATCATTCTAAATGCGGCTTCCAACCATTCTTGGCCCACTGGGGAAAACATTAAATGTACACACACACACACAAAAAAAAAAAAAAAAAAAAAAAGC